CCTCCCTGCTGAGAAGGCGAGAACCGCCGTGGGTTTTTGCTGTTCCTCGCCAGGCCTTCTCGTATTTTCTCTGTGAAATGGAAGTGGCATCGTGACAAGGTGATTTAAGTCGACGGCTCCTTTAAGTGAAGCATTGGTTTTTACAACGCGGAAGAGAGCTGGGTAAATCTCTTGTGTAGATAACTTTGCATCTCCCAGTAATAATCATTTCATGGACTGCAGGTAAACGATCGACTCCACTGGCTTTACCCTTGCATGAGATAGTCAACCTAACTGAGCCTCGGTTTCTTTATTCAAAAAATGGCAATAATAATCAGCTGTCTCGACATCCTGACTTTCCGTGCTCTCTTTAACCTATCCCAGCAGGCTTGTGTGCCCTACACACCAAAGGAGAGATGGCCTTTTGCAAGTCACCAGTGACCTCCGTGTTGCCAATACCGTTTGTTATTTCTCTGCCCTGAGGATTTTCTCGACCTCACAGTGAATCTCAATGCAGTTGCTCATTCTTAAGACATTCTTCTCTTGCCTTCAAGGACTCCATACTTCCTCTCTCCTTTCCCCTGCACCCCTTGTCTTCCTATTTCTATAGCTGCTCCAGAGGCTACATCTCCAGCCTCTCGCTCTTCTCCATCTGTGCTCTCTGCCTGTGTTATCGTATCCATTTCCACGATGTAAATTCTACCAAGGCACCGATGACTCCCCAGTTTCTATCTTCAGCCCTGTCCCTTCTCCCTCTCCTTCAATTCACACCAGTTGCTTACTTCACATGTATCTAACAGGCATTGCAAACCCAACATACCCAAAATTGAAAATTTCATTGCATACTCACCTCTTAACCTGCTCATCCTGTGTTTTCCATTTCAGCAAATGGCACATCATCTGCCAAGTCGCTAGTTAAGACCCTTGAAATCCCTTGGTTTCTGTCTTTTCCTCATCCTCCATATTAACCCATCAAGTCTAATCACTTCTATTTCTAAAGTATTTCTGGAACCTGCTCCTCTTTTTTTCATCTTCACTGTAATCACCCTAGTCCAAGGCATTATCATCTTTCACGAGAAACACTGACAGTTCTCTCTTATTCTCTTTGCCGTCCACACCCGTTATCCATCCTTGACACAGCAGCCAGAGAGAATTATTTAAAAGATCAATCAGATCATGTTGCTCTCCTGCCTAAAATCCTTCAATTGCTGCCTGTGCACTTGGAATAAAATTTAACCCTGGATTTGAAAGCCTTAAAATTTGAAACATTTCTGACAACTCTATTCAAATCAAGTTCTACTCACCTATCATGTTTTTTACACTTAAGCCATATTAGCCTTTTTTGTGTGTTCTTTGAAAATTCCAGGCTCATTTCTACCTTGATGCCTTTTCACATGCTTTTCTCCTGACTGTCCCATGACTGGCTCCTTCATGACATTCAGGTCTTAGCTTAAATAGCATCCCATTAGAAAGATCTTTCCTGGCCATTCTGGTTACCCACCTAATCACTTCCTATCACACACCCTGTTTCTCAATTCAGTACACATCAGAAAACTTATTAAATAATGATTTCATTAATAAAGTTATTTACTAATTTATTTGTTTACAAATGTATTTTAAACCCAGGGCTGGGATTAAGGTGAGACAAGTAAGGCATTCATCTCAGCTAGAAAAAATTTAAGAGGGAGCTAAAAAGCTTGGTAATCAAAGTAAATAATATTTTAATGCAATATTTAAAAAAATTCCAAATGAGTGGGAGAAAATCGTGATGAGCAAAATATAAAACTTTTAAATAAAGACAGGATCTGATTGGGCTGGGATTGGATGAGATGAATGAGGTAGGGGATGTGGTGCAGGCACTGATGCAAACTACCCCCTGCATCTCACTCAGCTCTGTATCCCCAGCACCCACAACAGTGAATGGCACATGGCAGGCACTCAATACATATTGATTGTTTTGTTGTGGGAATTAAGATAAAGTACTCGGCTTACAATTGGGGGAACACCTCTTTCCCACTCTTGATGTTTTCTTCTATGCAGAAGAAGCTCCTCTGCTGGTGTAACCCTCCCCCAGCCTTTCTTGGTGTGAGGAGAGGTGAGGACAATGATTAGTGAGCCAGGAAGTAAGGATTTGGGTCCCATCCTCTTCTCTTTTTCTTGGTAAAAATGTCCGACAAAGAGCACTTATTCTGCTGTATGAGGACAGGCTGCTGGGGTGACCCAGTGCTTTTTGCATCTGGGTGGGCAAGTCTTAATCTGAGGTTTAGTTGTAGGAGTTCTGCTTGCCCATGACTATAAGCCATGTGCTTCACCAGCCATACCAGAAATAAGTGTGTTGCCCTCTTTTATGCTGACTCGATTGTCTTAATTTTTAGTTGGTTCAGACAGGTCAGAGTAGTGCTGTTTATAAGTCCTTCTCTGCCTCCCAGAAATAGTACCTGGTACAAAGTAAGTGATTAAATGTTCAAATCTATAGAAACAGGTGCCTTAGCATCTAATAGATTTGGAAACCACAGGTACTGGGAAACAGTAAATCTTTTTTATTTTATTCAGTTAAATAAACTCTTCTATTCATAATCTTTCAATTTACTAAGTTCCATGGATTCCAACAAAGCACCAAATCAGAGCAAAAAGACTCTGCCTGTCATTCAGTAATAGCTTTACTAATTGTGCCCGACCATTTCTGTCCTGACTATAGCACTGTAGTCTGTGGCATGTTTATACTTCATTTTGAACATTCTTAATCCCAACATGTCTAATAAATCCAAAAACTGTGAAAGTTTAAAAACCGCTAATAAGAAAACACAACTTATTATAAAGAAATGAAAGTAAATTTTAAAAAATGAAATTAGAGAGAAAATGAGTACCGTTGCACATGAGTTGTTGGAGCAATGATTAAGAAGCAAGAGTAAAGCATGTGACAAATTATGTTAACATAAGTAACAGTAATCAGTCAGAAACTAGGAAGATTGATTAGCAAAATGAAAAAAACAAAGTTTTTAACTACAGTTAGAAAGCTAACATCAATATTTGAAGCTATTGGCCTAATCTTAATTCAGAAAGTGGTTGAGAGCTGATTTGAGAACATATTAGCTAAATGCAGAGAAAGCTTTGGTAATAAAATGTTTGAGGCAGGTACTAAAGCTGCTAAGAAGTTCCCTGTGACAGTGCTTCCCCAGACCAGCAGCATCAACAACACCCAGGAGCTTGTTGCAAATGCAGAATCTCAGCTAAGCACCCCATGCCCACACCTGCTAAAACAATCTGAATTTTAATCAAGATCCCCAGGTGATTTATATTCATCTTAACATGTGAGAAGCACTTCTCCATGACACTTCCTGGAAATGGGGTTTCCTTCGATAGATTCTCACTATAGACCAGTTGATAAATGAGGATTCGGTGGAATTGAAATCAGAGAGGAAAATGCTATTAAAGAAAACCTGTAGAACCCAGAAAATTTCACACCACTTCATTGGCAAAGGTCTTTTAGAGTAATTGGGAAGGTACAATGGCCATTTGAGTTAGAAGCAGCTAACTTAGATTCTTAAAGGTATCTATATTGTGTTGCTATTAACTTATTTGTAATTTTTTTAAAAAGCCATGTAGAGCTAGGGCTCACAGACCCCTCGAGTCTGTTGCACAGACTGGGTCACAAACCCTCCACATGCAGGTCTACGAGCTAGGTAATAGGAAAAAGGTCCTGGGAGCCGTGGGTAAAAAATTAATAGGCTTTATTCAGAGCTAGGAGCAGCCGTTCCAGTGGCTTCTCTGAGAGTTCTGAGAAGCTCCGTGGATCAGAGCTGTTAGCCCTTATACTCAAGACTATAACCCAGGACACCTGGGTGCCCATATGCAGTTACTTTTAGTAACAAGGAATACCTGAGGATATTTACAGCAAATGCTCAGCAAGATTCTGAACATCTGAGGGGCCCTGACCATTTTCCTATATTTTCCCAACAAGCCAACATGGGAATATTTTTGACATCCTTAATTTTTAAGGGTTTAAAGATGCTGGAAGAATTCATATGAATGCTGTAGATGTTTCTTGTGAAGCAGTGAGTCATTCTAAGAATAAGGTAAGCTATATAAAGCTGGAAAGGTGATATCATGCCATTTCGAAAAGAAAAGCAGAGACAGAAACCAGGTAGCTGGAGGTGGGGAATTCCAACACACAGGAGCAGAGATTAGAGACAGTTGAAGAACATAAGAAACAGGGATAGGAAGAGGACATTCCCGTATTAGAAACTAATAGACCAAGAAGGCAAGCATTGTCTGCATCTGAGACAGCAAAGTTGGAAATGAGTATTTTACATGAGCTAAACTGAAAGAACAATAAATGGCATCTCAGCTGCATCTATTTATGTTCCGAAATTTTATCCCACTGCAATAAAATGTAACTAGGCACCTAACTGTGTCTTTTTGCGCTCAGATGAAAAAAGAAAGGTACCGCACCATGTATTTGAGGAGGAAACTTCTTTTATTTTTTGTT